TTCTTTGGTGTCTTTGTTCTAAGCAATAACTCCAGACTACATATTCTTTTAGGTATAAACTCAACTCACTATATATTTGGCACCACGTTGGGCTGTTTTGAGAAACAGAAATCATTCTCAAGTTTTGAAATGTATCTAACATGTTAGGAAGCAGAGACAATGATTATTTTCTCATGAGAATCTAATTAACATCATTTTCAGCAATTAACAGTGCAAGTCTGTAGTTCCAGGTCTAGTGTGTAAGAAAAGGCCCCAAAACCCCAGTGTGGAAAATACTTGCCTTAGTGCACCTACCAGACAAGATCTTCAAAAAAGATGATTTGACATTGGGAGGCATGCACGAGTTTCTAGACATTATTAGTACTAACGACTGCAGTGCTCAATATGGATTGAGGCTCAATGTCAAGAAGACAAAGATTCTCACCACTGGACCAATTGGCAGCATCAGGATGAATGGTGACGCGATTGAGAATGTTCACAGCTTTAGTCAACTTGGCTGCACAATCAACACTCTTGGGACCAGCAGCCAGGAAATAAAAAAAACGTATTGCGATGGGAAAGTCTGCTGTTAGGGACCTCTCTAAAGTACTGAAGAGCAGCGGTGTATCTCTGGAGACTAAGGTGCGTCTGGTACAGGCCATGGTCTTTGCAATCATTTGTTATGCGTCAGAGAGTTGGATAATGACCAGGGAGGATAGAAGGAGAATTGATGCTTTTGAGCTTTGGTGTTGGAGAAGAGTGTTGCGTGTACCATGGACTGCTAAGAAAAAAACAAAACAAAACAAAACAGATTCACCCTGAAGAGGGTTAAACTGGGCTGCTCCTTGGAGGCAAGGATTCTGAGGCTTCGTCTGACATACTTTGGTCATGTTGTAAGGAGAGACCTGTCCTTGGAGAAGGACAGCATGCTTGGAAGGGTGGAGGCCAGGCTCAGGAGGGGAAGGCCCTCTGGGTGATGGATTGATTTGGTGACTGGGGCAATCAGGATTAGTGTGTCGGATATAATGAGATCGGCACAGAACAGAGCAGAGTTTAGAGCTGTTGTACATAGGGTCACTATGAGTCACAAGCAACTCGATGGCACATAACAACAACTCAAAGCTTTGATTTAGCATTCAATTTTCATAATAATGAGTCATCATTTACAGAGCACTTTTATGTTGCAGCTTCTATACTACATGTTCTTTATACATAATTTATAATTTGGATAGTAATTAGCAAGGTTGAACCTCTACCATATGTACAGAAAACAGAAACTGAAAAACTGAGAAGCCATGTGACTTGCTCGAGTTTATATAATTATTGTAGCGCTAGAACTCCAAAGTAGCTGAATTTTATTTAAAAAATGCTGTGTTCATCACCTCATGTTTGGTAGTTATCAATTATTGTGCCAGGTACTCTTCTATGCAATTTCCATGTATCATCACCGTCTGATTTTATTCCTAGCATAATTCTACACAGAAAACAGAGACTCAATCTATTAAATAAACAAACCTAACTGTTAAGTAATTATATTAATAACTCCAAATTCTCTTCTGTTGAGTCTGACTCAGAATATAGGACAGAAGACTGCCTTATCTTTCTTGAACAGAACTGTCAGTAAGTTCAGACTTCTGATATTCCGTTGCCAGGCCAAAGTCTAACCTACTACCTCCAGAACTCCTTATATGAAGAACGGTTCTAGGACTATGATGGTCCGCTTTTGAAGAGGCTCTATTCTTTTAAATAATTGAAGGCACAGATTATTTCTTTAGTTAAATTCACTGGGAACTTATTAAAGTGAAGAGAATACTTCATTCTTGGGGATTGAGCTGAGAAAAAATGGTGATAGCTGTATAGATTATGCCTTAGTAATTTAAATTAGCTTATTGTCAAGAACACTTGTTAATAGGAAATGAGAGAGTTTGAATTTATGTTCTGGCTCCACTTGCAAGTAGCAAGTGGAGTAAGTTAACTCTCTGAGTCTTGATGTGTGGAATTGTGGAATGGAAGTATTCTAGGAGAGGCCAGTCACTGGAGAAGGGCAACATGCTTGGAAAAGCACTTTTAAGAAAAAGGGAAGAAAACTCTCCATAAAATGGATTTACACAGTGATTGCAACAATTGGGTTAAGCACAACAGAACCTGTCTGGCCAGCACAGAATTGAGCAGGAATTCTTTCTCTTGTGTTTGGGGTTGCTATGAGTTAGAATTTACTCGATAGCATCTAGAAACAACATGATTCATGAGACTGTGGGACTATAACAAGCTATCAGTTGCCCCTTTAATTTGGTGGTAACTTAGGGCAACCCCCATAGGGTCTTAAATGCCTCATATGTTGGAAGTAGATTGTTGAACCTTTCCTCTGAGTAAACTCAAATAAGGAAGCTTTTGGTTAGTAGTCCAGTACAGCAGCTATTTCTTTACACTATCTAGGTACTCCTACTGTGAGGATTATTTGGAATCATATACATGTGAAAAGACTCTGTAACCTACAAGATTTGACAGGTTAGATGTATGAAAAGTGCTTGGAAAGATTAAACAGAAAGTCTATCATGAACAAGACACAAAAACATCCAACTGAGTAAGGGATAAGAATGAAATAAACTTTTTTCTTTTCTGCTTTTTTTCCTCTGTATGAGAACCCTCTGTTTTGGCACAGTGCATAAGGAACTAGTGTCCTTGGGCATCATCCCACAATTGACTCATTTACCTCAGCTTCCTAAACTGAGAAAAGGTTGTGAAAGATTTGATGACTGTGATCAGACTTTGTGGGCTGGAAAGACAAAGTAGGAGATTCATGGCCAAAATACAACGTCTTCAAAGGTAGAAAATTCAACATGACCTAAATGGCCTTGTAAGAGGCCTTGAATCCTCATTGTCAAGCTTGGATATAGAATTGCAGAGATATTTCTAAACTACAGTCCACTCACTCACTGCTATTGAGTCAAATCTGACTTATAGTTGGCCTCTATCAGGTTTCTGAAGCTGTAAATTCTTATAGGAAGAGACTTTTCATCTTTCTCCTGTAGAAGGGATGGTGGGTTTGAACTGCAGATGTTACAGTTAAGAGCTGAATCCTTAAGAGTTAAAAGAAGAAGTGATGGAGTTGGGAGGGCATTTGAACTCAAGTTGACCCTGATGTTATCACATAATTTCTCAAAAATTTAGTATCTTCATTTGTAAAACAAAGAAAGAACCCATACTTTACAGGATTCTTACACAGATAATCAGAATATACATATGTAACTGCTCTTCTTACTATACATAAGAATGATAGTTATTAGTAGAAGACAGTATAGAAGGAAGTCTTTGAGTCCACAACATGAGATGTGATTGTTGATATGTCAAAAGAACTTCTGAAGAATGAAATTTTAGAATTAGGAGAGCCCTTAAAGATCCTATGTGTCTTTGGTTTTCGAATTGGGTTCTATGAAAACTTAAGGGTCTGCAAGATGAGGGCTAAGTAATTCCTTGGATTGGTGAGAAAAAAAACGGAATCAGTGAGGTCTAGTTACACACTCTCACTATAAATCCAACACTAACACTTAGTTTTAGCTACATACAGTGCTTCTGAAAGAAAAGAAGTCTGCTAAAGGACAGTTTGTGAGTCACTGAATAGAACTTACAGGAGGCTTTTTCAAGCATTAGTATTTCAACAATCAAAATTGTTTTAAAAATCAATGGTCTAAAGAGAAAATGAGTTCTTTATCACTGGAGGTATGCAAGCAGGTGTTAGATAAATACTTGTTAATTCTTTCACTAAAAGAAACCCTGTTAATGATTAATAATTAATGATTAATTTGCTAATGGAAATTTTGCCAGTTAACTTACCAGAAGGCTTGCAGAGGAAAGACCTAGTGATAAAGACTGCAGCTTAAGAAACCCTATTCTCACTTCTACTCTGTTTTATAAGGTTACTGCAAGTAGAAGCTGACTCAATGGTATACAAAAGGAACAACAATTCCTTTGCTATTACCTAACCTTTCTTCTCACTATCTACTAAGGGGTTTTAAAGAGGTAGCCTAGTGTCAAAAAGCTGTGCTGCAATTCCAAAGGCATGTGGTTGAAATCCACTAGCTGCTCTGCGGGAGAAGGATGATTTACTGTCATTTACTGCCTCTGAAAACCCACTGGAGGGTCAGTTATGGGTTGGTTCTGAGGCGATGGTACTTAATAACAAGAGTTCTTTAGGGAACCGGTAGTGGCATGGCCCTTAGGGAGTTGGACTGCTAATACAAAAGCCACACCTCTCTGGAGGTATGAATCCATGCCAGTCTCATTCTGTGAAATTTACAGCCTCAGCAATCCAACAGAGGGTTAGTTTTGAATTGACTCTCCCAACAATGACTTTGAAAAGTTCTCTGAAGCAAAATTTAAAAAACATAAATTTATTCCAAACCTTATGTAGTGTATCTATCAACCATCTATCATCTATCTATCTATCTATCTATCTATCTATCTATCTATCTATCTATCTCTATATCTATATATTTATATCTATGTCATCTATATATCCCATATCAATCTCTTCACGCAATATACAAGTGGAGAAACTTAGATCCATAATGGGAAGGTGTCTGCTCAGAGATTACACAATGAGGTAATGGAAAGCTAAGATTAAAACCTAAGTGTTCTGACTCCCAAATACATAGTATTTATATTATGCCTCATTATTAAAGTGCCCCTGGTGTGGACATTGTAGGTAATGCTGATAATAGAATGACAATCACTCAAGACTATCTCTGAGGTTTGTATGTACACATGTAAAATAGAATCCTAAGAAATAGATATGAGATGTCTTTGTGATCATAAGGAAAATTGCTGACCTTTTCTAAGGGACATATGATCTCATTTTCTTTACAGGTCAAATGAGTATGATATCAATATTTCTTCTTTACAATTACAGTAGGATTATAAGAGTAAATATATAGAAAAATATTGCCATGATGCCTGGTCTATAGTAATACTCCCTAAATATAGTCTCCCTTATACCACGTATCCACTTTTGCCTTCCTTACCTGGTAAGGCCTTGGCCCACTTGACTACATGTACAAGCTGTCTCTCGCCCAATTCATTGAGGCTAGAAAGCAAGGCTGCAAAGGAGTCAGGCTGGTTGTTGTCATGTCCAGCACACACAACACCTGGCTCAATGGCTTCCAAAACATTCAGAAAAATAGGCTGACACTCATAGCCTTTGACGTGTGACACTGTCAGCTTTTGAGTTGACTCCTCTGTGGGGCTGGTGGCATTGGAGGCCTCTCCTTCCTCCTGTAGTTTCAGGTTACCAAGTTTCTTCAGTTTCCGAGCTGTTGGGAAGAAAAAGAAACCTGCATTTAGTATCAGAGACCAAAACACATAGTATAGCCACCCTGTTATGAAAATTGTCTAAACTAACAAGTTGTTGTTGTATACTGTTGAGTCTACTTATTCATAACTCACCCTTCAGAGGGAGTAAGGCACATTGGAGTTGATTACCCATATTTCTCTTGTGGAGATCCTGTTAGATTCAAAGTGAGTGCCTTTGGGTTGACAGTGAAATTCCTTACCAGTAGGCCACCAGAACTCAAGAAAATAAGAGTATATGAATTTTCTCTATCCACAGACCAACTTCTTTAAGGATGTTTGTTGTTATTGTGTACCATCAAGTCTGAATAGACCCATAGCTTCAGAGGGTTTTCAGAGGCAATTAACATCTCAGGAGGAGATGGCCCATCCTTTTCCCACTGAGCAGCTTTGGACTTGAACTGCAGGCTTTAGTACTACAGTGTAGCTTCTTGCCACTAGACCACCAGCACTCCTTTCCTTAAAGATAAATGCTCTATTTAAACACTAATGTTGTTGTTGTTGTTATGTGCCATCGAGTCACCTGCAATTCATAGAAACCCTAGGTACAACAGTGCTAAACTCCACCCTATCCTGTGCCAATCTCACCATCTCCAACACACCTACCCCCATTACCCCAGTCACTGAATCAATCCATCTCATCGAGGGTCTTCCTCTCCTGCGCTGTCCCTCCTCCCTCTCAAGCATGGCATCTCTCTCCAAGGACTGGTCCCTCCTTGCAATATGTCCAAAATATGTCAGATGAAGCTTCAGAATCCTTGCCTCCAAGGAGCAGCCCAGCTTCACCATCTCCAGGACAAACAAACCTGTTCGTTCTCTTAGCAGTCCATGGTATATTCAACACTCTTCTCCAATACCACAGTTCAAAGGTATCAATTCTCCTTCTATCATCCCTAGTCATTGTCCAGCTCTCTGATGCATGGCAAGTGATTGCAAAGACCATGGCATGCTATCAGGTGCACCTTAGTCTCCAGACTGACATCGTTCCACTTCAGCACTTTAGAGAGGTTTCTAACCACAGACTTTCCCTTCACAATACGTCTTTTAATTTCCTGGCTGCTGGTGTCAAGAATGTTAACTGCAGAGCCAAGTAAACCAAAACTGTGAACAATCTCAATCTCGCCACCATCCATTATGATGCTGCCAATCGGGCCAGTGGTAAGAATCCTTGTTTTCTTGATATTAAGCCTCAATCCATACTGAAGACTGCAGTCCCTGACCTTCCACAGCAAGCGCTTCAGGTCCTCCTCAGTTTTAGCCAGCTGGGTTGTGTCATCTGCATAACACAGATTGTTGATGATTCTTCCTCCAATCCTGATAACACATTCGTCCTCATAGAGATCCTCTCAGATCATCTGTTCTGCATATAGATTGGAAAGGTATGGAGACAGGATACAGCCCTGGCATATACCCTTCCCAATTTTGAACCATGCAGTGTTCACCTGCTTTGTTCTGACGACTGCCTCCTGGTCCAAGTATACGTTTCACATTAGCACAATCAAGTGTTCTGGGATTCCCATTCTTCTCAGAGTTAGCCACAGTTTGTTATGATCCACACAGTCAAACACCTTTGCATAATCAATGAAACACAGATATACATTCCTCTGGTACTCCTTGCTTTCAGCCAAGGTCCATCTAACATTAGCTACAATAGCTCTAGTACCATGACCCCGTCTAAAGCCAGCCTGCACTTCTGGTAGTTATTTGTTGATGTCCCGTTCCAGTCATTTTTGCATAATCTTTGGCAGAATCTTGCTTGCATGTGATAGTAATGATACTGTTCAATAATTTCCACACTCTGTGGGGTCAACTTTCTTTGGAATGGGAACAAATATAGATCTCTTCTAGTCAGTGGGCCCAGTGATTGTTCTCCAGATTTCTTGGCACAACTTGGTGAGCACATCTAAGGCAGCATCTGTTAGTTGAAATATGCCAATGAAGAAGCTGTACTGGAATCCCAGAGGCACGCGGTTTGAATCCACCAGATGGTCTGTGGGAGAAGGAGGGGCAATCTTCTCCTGTACCAGTCAGATCTGATTTGACAGTACACAAATACACAAAAATAATAAAATAAAATAAAAACTAAAATACAATAAAATAAAATCAAATTCCTGGGGTCTTATTCTTAGCCAATACTTTCAAAACAGTCTGAACTTCTTCCTGCATCACCGTAGGCTCTTACTCACATGTTGTTTCATTAAATTCTTCTGTGTCTGCCAATCCCTTTTGGTATAATGACTCTGTATATTCTCCATCTTCTTTTAATACTTACAAGATCACTCAATATTCTGCCCAAAGCATCTTTAAGTATTGCAACTCGAGGCATGAATTTTCTCTTCAGTTCCTTGAGCTTAAGAAATGCTGAGCGAGTTCGGCCCTTTTGATTTTCTGACTCTAGCTCCTAGCACATTTCATTGTAGTATTTTGCTT